TTAACAAGAAGAAGGGTCCCAAGGCGAATAAGGTTACTAGCTTTAAAAAAAGAAAACAGAGAAAAAAACAGAGAAGAAGGATCTGAAGAATCTCACCTGTTTTGTGTGCGGTAATCCTGGTCACTTTGCCAAGGATTGTCCCGACCGCAAGGACAGAACCACTGAACTGAGCAAAAAGTTCACTAATGTGACCATTAGCGAGGCCTCGACTTCAGGAGGGTACGGTAAATCTCCTGTTGTTTATTCTGTATTTCAGTCTATCGACTGGTGGGTTGATACTGGTGCAAATGTTCACGTGTGTTCTGATGCTTCCTTGTTTTCTTCATATCATGCAGCAGGGACTTCCAGCGTCTTAATGGGAAACAGAACGCGTGCTTCTGTTCTTGGTGTTGGTACGGTAGATCTGAAGCTCACTTCAGGGAAAACCATCCAATTGAAGAATGTCCAGCACGCACCTGTGATAAACAAGAACCTGCTAAGTGGGTCTCTCCTGTGTAGGAGTGGTTATAAGCTAGTATTCGAGTCGAATAAAGTTGTAGTGTCTAAATTTGGGGCTTTTATAGGAAAAGGCTATGACAGCGGAGGCTTGTTCCGCCTAAGTACTATGGATTCTTGTTATAGTTTGAATATTACTACTGGTTTGAATAAAAATTCTGCTAATGTATGGCATTCGAGGTTCTGTCATGTTGGTTTTGATACAATTACTAGAATGTCCAGATCTGAGTTAATTCCTAAATGTGACATAGTCAAGAATTCTAAGTGCCAAACTTGTGTGCAAGCAAAACAACCTCGAAAACCTTTTAAGGCATTAGAGTCTAAGAAGAATCTGGCACCACTAGATTTGATCTATTCTGATTTATGTGAGATGAATGGTGTTTTGACTAAAGGAGAAAAAAGGTTTTTTCTTACTTTTATTGATGATGCAACACGTTACTGTTATGTTTACTTGCTGAAGTCTAAGGATGAAGCGATGAACTATTTTAGAATATATAAGGCAGAGGTTGAGAACCAGTTAGAAAAGAAGATTAAGAGACTTAGAGATGATCGGGGAGGAGAGTATATCTCTAATGATTTTTCTAATTTCTGTTCTGAGCATGGGATTATCCATGAATTTACACCACCCTATTCACCACAATCAAATGGTGTAGCTGAGAGGAAAAACCGATCACTTACAGATTTGGTGAACGCCTTATTAGAGAGTACCGGTATGCCAAAGATGTGGTGGGGGGAAGCAATCTTGACTGTAAATTTTGTGCTCAATAGAGTTATCACCAAGAGAAGTGACATAACTCCATACGAGGCATGGAGGGGTAGAAAACCCAATGTCAACTTTCTGCGAACGTGGGGATGTTTGGCGAAAGTCAACATTCCAGAGCCAAGAAAAGGAAACTTAAAAAGCGATTGATAGCATTTTTATAGGATACTTTCGAATAGTCCCCGCCTATAGATTCTTGGTAGTTAAATCCGATACTCCGAGAGATTATAGTAGATACAATAATGGAGTCTAAGGATGTTACTTTCTTTGAGGATATCTTTCCTATGAGACCGAGTAGCGAAGATTTTTAGAAATCTGGATGCGACCATTCCTAACTCGAACAAGTTGAGAACATACCTCTGCGAGAGAATAATGAGGAGGATAACAATTCGGACATCACTCCGCCGCAGGAGTAAGAGACAAAAGGTTGAGAAATCTTTTGGAGATGACTTTATAGTATACCTTGTGGATGATGTGCTCACGACTACTGGTGATGCTTATGCATCTTCGGATCTTGACTATTGGAAAGAGGCGATCAGAGCGAGATGGACTCCATCATGACAAATGAGACTTGGGAAATCCTTTGAACGTCCCTGTTGGGTGCAAACCTATTGGATGTAAGTGGATTTTCAAGAAAAGATGAGACCAGATGGCACGATTGAAAAATATAAAGCGAAGCTTGTGGCCAAAGGCTTTACCCAGAAAGAAGGTGAAGATTATTTTGACACCTATTCACCTGTGGCCAGGTTAACCACCATTAGGGTGCTCATTGCATTAGCTGCTTCCTATGGTCTACACATTCATCAAATGGATGTAAAGACAGCTTTTCTTAATGGAGAGTTGGAGGAAGAAATCTATATGGAGCAACCTGATGGTTTTGTGGCTAAGGGACAAGAGGGTAAAGTTTGCATATTGTTAAAATCATTATATGGCCTAAAACAAGCACCCAAACAATGGCATGAAAAATTTGATCAAACCTTAACCTCTGCTTATTTTTGTTGTAAACGAAGCAGATAAGTGTGTATACTATCGCCATGGTGGGGGTCAAACAGTGATCTTGTGCTTGTATGTGGATGATATACTCATATTTGGGACTAACACTGCCGTGATTGACGAGGTCAAATCATTCTTATCTTCATGCTTCGACATGAAGGATCTGGGTGAAGCAAGTGTTATCCTGAATATTAAGTTGATCAAAAATGAGAATGGGATTATTCTAAATCAATCTCATTATGTGGAAAAAATACTGTGTCGCTTTGGCTTTGAGAATGCCAAGGTATCCCCTACGCCCTACGATGCTAGTGTAAAGATAAGGACAAATAAAGGCGAAGGGTTGGACCATTTGAGATATTCACAAATAATTGGGTGCCTCTTGTATCTCATTTGGTGCAACACGTCTCGATATATCTTTTGTTGTGAGCAAATTAAGTCGCTTTTACTTCTAATCCGGGGAAGGATCATTGGGATGCACTAGAGAGAGTGCTACGTTACACCGAGAGGTACAATCGAATATGGAATTCACTATCTTTGGTTATCCATCCGTATTGGAAGGATATAGTGATTCCAAGCGGATTTCGATGCGGATGCAATTAAAGCCACGAATGCTATGTGTTTACACTAGCGGTGTGTCTGCAGATTACATGGAGGTCATGTAAATGAGACCATTTTGACGCTTGATCGACCATGGGCTGAGCTTGTAGCACTTGACACACACTCATCGTTGAATTTGAGTGGCTAAGAGAGCTACTCATGGACTTGCCTTTGGTAGAGAAACCGATTCCGGCGCAATCCTTATGTACTGTGACAACCAAACGGTATTGATCAAAGTTACGAGTACTAAGAATAATTCGAAGTCCTCGAGACATGTGAAGTGGAGTCTTAAATCTGTTAGAAAGCTGAAAAACTCCGGAGTAATTGCTGTGAATTATATTCGCAGTGAGAAAAATCTAGCAGATCCCTTTATAAAAGGGCTATGAATTCAAGGCTTAGTCCATTCACAAGCTGCTGGAAGATGAACCTGGTTGATCTAGGTGTAAGTTCAACCTGTACGGGACTTATGGTATATATAAAGAATGTTCAGTACAGCAGCTTTGGAATTGGTGGGGGATTGTTGGATTTAGGCCCATGTTTGGCCTAATCTGAAAATTTCAAAGCATGCACAACCTATAGTCCCATATTGCTAATTCAAGGAGAGGTTTCCTTGCTTAAATATGAGATTCTCCTCTCTATGCAAAATAGGTGAAAATGAGAGAGAAGGAGACTGTTGCTACACGCACGCGCAGCTCGCGCACATTTTTCGCGTGAAAAATCGCGTCGCGCGACGCGTACGTGTACAACAGGCTATTATTTGTGCAGTTTCTATTTTTTATTCTAAGCGTAATGGCGCTTCAATGTGATTGAAACTGCCGTTTTAAACAGTAATAAGGTGTGTCAGTTTCTGCTATTTGATTGCAGCATTTTCTGTCATTAAATTGTGCATTTTTTACTGCTTGTTGAGGAATTGATGCACTATGAAGGCCTATAAAACCAGGAGACGTCCTGGTTGAAGGGTACGGATTGAAACGCTCACCTTCCCACTTGCTGTGCTGAGCTTCTCGCTGCTGCGCCTCGTCGACCTTTGAGTTCGGCGTGCACCGGACTTGAAGAGAGCGGGATCTCTGAAACCACTGCCGCGAGACTCCTGCACGGGGCGGCAATCAGGTTTTTGGGCAGCGTCTACACGCGACCGCTTGGTGATATGCAATATCTACTTCAACATGTTCGACTACGTTCTGCGCGGGATCATTGAGTAATTTCCTTGCGCAATCCTGTTCTAGTCAGTATGTTGCCTGTTTACTTGTGTTATATGCTTGCATCATTTTTTATCTATGAGTTTTTCCTCCAAACAAAATCTGGAATGTATATTAGGCACATATTTCCAACACTATTCGGGTGCGCTTGGTCTATGTGTAGGTGCTGCTGTGAACACTGTACGTGTGCAATTTGGGATGTGTTTCTTTGCTATGTATTTTTTTCGAAACCGTGCGATCATCTGATGAAAATTTGGTCGGAGGTGAGTAACGGATGACGTTGAACTTGCATGTCTTGTCGCTCTGCTGTGAATTGTGATAGATCTTTGAGCTCAGATCGCACCTGGTAAAGGGTGAGGGAACTCGAGAGTGCAACGTGATACGGGCTCCTCTGAAAACCTCCTCCCAAGACATCCCATGTGATCCTGCTCGGAAAAACGATAGTGCGATCCTGTTGCTGCAGCCTGCAGCAACAAGTCTGTGGGTCTGACCGGACTATTGAACTGGCCGGATGCGAAAGGAAATAACAACCATCGGCCCAGCTCTGTGGATCCTGGAGCCTTTGGGCCAGCGGAAACAAATCTGTGGGCCTGAGCAAGTTATACGGGCCTTTTGACCAGAAGTCTCGAGCCTACTTCTTCTCGAGCGGTTGGAGACGGTGACTGGGCCGGACCGGTATCGTTAGTTGGCACCTGCTACTGCCAGCGACGGCTGGGTCCACCAGCCTACGGAGCACGGCCACCGCCCCTGCCCCACCATCCGGCCTATCATCTGAGAATTTTTTTATTTTTAATATTTTTTAAAACTATTTTTAATTCTAACACTGTAAAAAAAATTCTTTAAGTCTTAACAATTTTTGTCGCGCCTATACACGTGGCAGCGACTCGACCGCTGAACGCTGACGTGGCTAGCTGCCGCGTCGATCTAGACGCGGCAATGCTCCCGCCGGCCACAGCATGAAGGACGAGGCGGCCGAGGCGGCTGCGCAGGCGCCGCCCGCGTTCGTCGTCGGGCCCAGGGGCAGGGAGCTGCTGATCCCGCCGCCGTCCTCCAACTACGAGGCGTGGGACCTCTCCGACAGCGAGTCCGCGCCGGCCTCCTCCTGGGCCACGCTCCCCAACAGGTACGCCGCGCCGCCCGGCCCTTCGTTCCCTCCTCCTCCTCCGCCGCCGCCGGGGGACCAGGCAGCAGCTAGTAACAATGCTCCCTCTTTCCTCTGTTCCTGCAGGGCGCTGCTGTGCCGGTCTCTGCCGCAGGACGTCGGCCGGTGCACGTGCGTCATCGTCAGGGAGGCGGCCACCGGCGCCAGAGGCGTCGCGCTCTACTCCCTCTACACCAACGTGAGCTGTCCTCCGAGCTGCATTGTTTGAAATCTGAAAGGCGATGTCAGAGCAATCCGAGGTTAATTTGTGTTTGTGGAATGGCGCAGGAGGGGCAGGGGCGGCAGGACCGCAAGCTGGCGGTGGCGCGGCACCGGAGGAGTAGGGGCAGGTCCGAGTTCATCGTGGCGCAGAACCAGGACGGCATCTTCTGCACCTCCGACAACAACTTCCTCGGCACGGTGGGCGCCAACCTGGTCGGATCCAAGTATCAAATCTGGGGCCAGGTACATCCACACCTCAAATCATGCTTCTTCCTGAATCCTGATTGCGTTGACCACTTGATGAGCAAATGTTCATGGCTGGCAGGGGAGCCGAGCGGACGAGCTGAAGAACCAGTCGAAACGGCTTCTTGGCGTTGTCGTGTAAGATCCGACTGACCTCAAAATCCATCAGGAATCAGATGCTCCCTTCCGGAATGCTTCTTGACCCAGAGTTTTTGGTTCCTTCAGGTTTGCCCCCACCATCACCACGCTCACCGGGAGTTTCAGAAGCATGAGGGCATGTATCCCCAAGAACCAGTCCATGCAGCTCAAGACCAACAATTCTGCTCAGGTAAGTTCAGATGAAAAAAAAAATCAACATTCAGCGAGCTAGTTTGGAATCAGGCAGATGGTTCTTAGTGACTATGGAAGTTTGCAGATTCAGCATGTCAGTGGGCTCCCAAAGGATTGGCAGGAGAAGAAGAGCCGAGCTGACCAGTTGTGCTCAAGAGCCCCGTTCTACAACCATGTAAGGAGTTCATGACAGCTTGTTTGATGCGTATTCCTCGGAGTGGTATCTCAACTCTCAAGAGGCAAGCTGATGATTGTTGATTTGTTGATTTGTGTTGTTATGGTTCCGTGTGCCTCTTCACGACAGATGACAAAGCGCTACGAACTGGACTTCAGAGAGAGGGCAGGAAGGATGGGGTACAAGGTGCAAACATCGGTCAAGAATTTTCAGATGACTTTGGAGGTAACATTTCATTTGTCTGGTTCATACGTATCAGAGATCACAGCAGTCATAAGATACATGTAACTTTGCTTGGCAGGAAAACGAGAGGCAGACAGTGTTGCAGATTGGTAGGGTTGGGAAATCCAAGTACATAATGGATTTTAGGTAACAAAAAAAGCCTCACCCAAAATTACTCCAGTGCTTTCGGTGCAATTGCGAGATCAGTTTCATCTCAGAAAAATGTGTTCTGCAGATACCCGCTGACCGGCTACCAAGCGTTCTGCATTTGCCTGGCATCGATCGACGCAAAGCTGTGCTGCACCCTGTGAAATGGGAGCCATGCGAGGGAGTGTTTGTTTTTGACCTTTAGTAGCTGATGTAATCTAAGCGGTTCTGTACTTCCAGTCTTCCAGCTTCTCACCTTGAGAAGGCGATTGAATAAAAGATCATGCTAATACGCGATTATCCTTTTGCAACTTGAGTGTTACTTAATCGGTCAAGCAATGTTTTATAATAGAAATAGCAAACAAGTCTAGTTACACCAAACCGTCGGCGTTTATACACTTGCCAGCCTTGGCACACTCGACCTATCTGCAGTTCTGCACTCATCATCCACACATGCGGGCAGCTTGTTGCAAACACTTCTCGGTTTTTTTTATTATTATTTTCAACATCGTCAATTCGTGAGCCGGATTCGGCACCGAAAGCTTCGCGGTCCGGCGCCGTCCGCCTGCGCAGATTTTTATTTCATCTTGCGGCCGCTGCGGTGCTGCGTCTCCATTGACCCGGCACGGGCGAGGTCAGAGAGAGCGAGCTGTTGGCCGGGTCGTCCCGGTGCTCGCCAGCGCTGCTGTCATGCCGTGCCGTGACACGGTGGCAGGCGGCTTCCCAACGACGCTGGGCATCCGCAACCAGCGCGCGCAGACCAGTCCAACCAGGCGGGCATATAAAGAGGTTCCCCCACTTTGGCTGCCGCTCTCCCATTTGTCTCGTCTCGCTCTCACGCTCGCGTCACCGGAGCTCTCCAGAAGCGAGCCCAACTGCCCAAGGGCGAGCGATCCGATCCCCTCCGCGGCCTCGTCAACGAAGCCGAGGTATAGCCGTGTTTCCCCCTTGCTCTGGCACCGATTTGATCCGAGGAAGCGATCGGCTGTAGACTGTCGGTTCGATAGATCCCCGCTCAAGCTTCCCGTCGGTGTTAACTTCGGTTTTTCATGTCAATTTTGCTGTTTTTGTATGTTTGTTTCGGCTCTGGAATTCGGATAGGCGGTCGGGTATGGTTTAAAGTGATCCAGCATAACGAGCAAAAACTACCGGCATATGGGTAGTCGTGTGCTCCTACTATGTGTTCTATGATTTCTACAGTACCTCTGTGCTGTTTGATTGAATTCTCTGTTTATGTGATGGAACTTAATGTCCAGTTACTAAGTCAGTTCATAGGTTTATATGTGATTCAGCATGTGCTAAGATGTGTGCTATGCTGATCTGTAACAGAGTAGCGGAACCCGCAAATTGCTTTCAGATCACTCTATGAAGAACTGGAGATGATCTCAAGCAGTGAAATCATACTGTTTCTGTCGATGATTCAGATGAAATGTATCCATTCAATTAACCATTTTCCTCAACCAAATTGCCCCCGTGATCCTCCTACCCAAATAGGAGTGTGGTTTCAGCCGATTCATGTAACTGGTACATACGTGGTATGTTTGTTGGCCATAAAAAAATGAAACGTGCATGGTAAGATGGTTGCAGAGAAATTTACGGCCAATCAAGTATCAAGATAATGAATAATTTGTATTACCAGCTAGCACCAAAGTCTAGTCGTCTCTGCAAATTGCTTGAAAGCTTATACTTGTATGAGTCAAGTATCAGTTTTTTTTAAGGGTAAAGTCCAATTTACATCCTCCAACTTTCACCAAAGTCGGATTTCAACCTCGAACTTCAAAACCGGACAACTTTGGTCCTCCAACTCTCGAAAAAGTTCAACTTCCGACCTTCTGGAAGGTTTTGCGGGTGAACAGTAACTTTTGATATTTTCAGGAGCGCCGAAATTTTATATTACTTTTTTGAGCATTTTAACGTCCTCAAATGAAAAACTCAAAACTACAAAGTTGTAGATCTCATCGAGGTCTACAATTTACATATAAAAATTATCTCCATCCGACATCGTATTGAAGGGTTTTCTATTTTTTGAAATTTGAGTATCATCACGCGATAAAATATGGTGCTGAAATTTTATGTTATTTTTTCGAGCATCTTCTTGTCCTCAAATGAAAAAAAAATATAAAATAAAGTTGTACATCTCCATATTTTATTTACATATGATGACATTCAAATTTATTGAAATAGAAAACCCAATGAAACAATGTCGGATGAAGATAATTTCAAAATATATGTAAATTATGAGACTCGATGAGATCTACAACTTTGTAGTTTTGAATTTTTTCATTTGAGGACGTCAGATGCTCAAAAAATAATATGAAACGTTAATATGAAAAAATAATATAAAATTTATCGAAAAAATATCAAAAGTTACTGTTTATCCGCAAAACTGCCCAGAAGGTTGAAAGTTGAACTTTTTCGAGAGTTTGGAGGGCCAAAGTTGTCCGGTTTTGAAGTTCGATGTTGAAATCCGGATTTTGGTGAAAGTTGGAGGGTGTAAATTGGACTTTACCCTTTTTTTTAACACAAAGTCAAGTTCAGTTTCTAAATCATGAACAATTGTGCACATTAGTTTTGACTGATGACTGGCATATTGCAATTTGGCGTCATCATACTTTTTTGTGGGGTTTACCTGACTCCATGGACACTTTAATGAGTAACACCGCTGCAGATAAATTCAAATACATTCTGAATATAGCATTCTGCTGCAGAACACACTGAGGAATGGCTGAAGAGGATGTTCAGCCCCTTGTGTGTGACAATGGCACTGGAATGGTCAAGGTTGGTTCTTCTGTCCGGCTGTCAATCCTTTAGCTACCATACATCTGTTTCAGTTTCCTTTTGCCTGTTTATTCATTTCTGATTTGATATACTGATGGGATCTTCATGCCAAACAGGCAGGTTTCGCTGGTGACGACGCACCGAGAGCTGTCTTTCCTAGCATTGTAGGCAGGCCACGCCACACTGGTGTGATGGTGGGCATGGGCCAAAAGGATGCATATGTGGGCGATGAAGCTCAGTCCAAAAGAGGTATTCTGACACTGAAGTACCCAATCGAGCACGGTATTGTTGGCAACTGGGATGACATGGAGAAGATCTGGCACCACACCTTCTACAATGAGCTTCGTGTGGCACCTGAGGAGCACCCTATACTGCTGACTGAGGCTCCTCTGAACCCCAAGGCAAACAGGGAGAAGATGACCCAGATTATGTTCGAGACATTCAACTGCCCAGCAATGTATGTGTCCATCCAGGCCGTTCTTTCCCTGTACGCCAGTGGTCGAACAACTGGTATGTTACTGCTTCAAACCTGTTTCGTGTCAGCATTCAGATAGCAGTGTAGTGAGTGACAACAATCTTTCTGCAGGTATTGTGCTCGACTCTGGTGATGGTGTGAGCCACACTGTCCCCATCTACGAAGGGTACACACTTCCTCATGCTATTCTTCGATTGGACCTTGCTGGTCGTGACCTTACCGACAACCTGATGAAGATCCTTACTGAGAGGGGTTACTCCTTCACAACGACCGCCGAGCGAGAAATTGTCAGGGACATCAAGGAAAAACTTGCCTACATTGCCCTTGATTATGAACAGGAGCTGGAGACTGCCCGGACCAGCTCCACCGTTGAGAAGAGTTACGAGCTGCCCGATGGCCAGGTTATCACAATCGGTGCAGAAAGGTTTAGGTGCCCTGAGGTGCTATTCCAGCCATCCTTCATTGGCATGGAATCTCCTGGCATCCATGAAGCCACGTACAACTCCATCATGAAGTGTGACGTCGATATCAGAAAGGATCTGTACGGTAATGTTGTCCTCAGTGGTGGCTCCACTATGTTCCCTGGTATCGGTGACCGCATGAGCAAGGAGCTCACTGCACTTGCCCCCAGCAGCATGAAGGTGAAGGTGGTTGCTCCCCCGGAGAGGAAGTACAGTGTTTGGATTGGTGGCTCCATTCTGGCCTCCCTCAGTACCTTCCAGCAGGTTGTTACTGTCTCAAAATCTAAATGCAACGTTTCTGCTTGCTTTGCAGTTCTGTTGTATATGAAATTTGATTTATTCTTGCTATTATATTGTAGATGTGGATCTCCAAGGCAGAGTATGATGAATCTGGTCCAGGCATCGTCCACATGAAGTGCTTCTGAATTTCTGGAGCAGTATATCTGTTACTTGTATTTTCAGTTAATTGGGATGCAAGATTGTCCCATGGTTTCTCTAGCATTCTTGGTTCTTTCTGGATCATTGAAGGGCTGTTGGCCATGGAGCATTGTGAAAGGTGGTAAAGTCGATTGATGTACTACATGAAGAAACATGTGCATTACTTCAGCAGTATAGATCGTCAGGTCAGTTTAGTTTTTTTTTTTCAACAGCACCATATCAGGGCGTTCCTGATGTGCGCAGTTGATCTGGGTTTTTACACGACGCAAGGGTATCGGCTGTCGCCCATGCAGTTTGTCTTTGAGAACTTTCAGTTGGTTTCTGCACTTCAGTACATGGAACAGAGTTCGCATTTGTTGGCCAGCGCCCCAGCGTGGCGTGAGTGTTTATGATTTGTACTTGGAGCTGTTTGTTTTATTCCTTTTCATGAAACAGATGTTATTGTTTGTACAGGGATAAATTGTTTATCCTTCAAATGTTTTAGATGCTGTTGGAGCAAACTTCATTTATAATTTGTTGGATTTACTTAGAGTACCATGCGAGTTTCGGAGTTAGCCAAATGACAAGATTAGCACGCTTGCATGACGCGGTTAGACAATCTTGCATCCCTGAGAACTTTTTTTTATTGAGGCTCTATCTGTTTTAGCTACGAAGCAGATTGTAGATCCTATATTTGTGTAAAGACGAGGGTTGAAAAGCCGATGGCAGCTTAGCAGGATTCTAACTAATTGTCTCTGTTATCTTGTTCACATGTGAGCACAATGGCGAAGTTGGTAAATGTGTACTCAGTCCCTAGATGTTTGTCGTTTTCGCTTTCCAAGAAACAATTTTGACTAAATATATATTAAAAATATTAATATTTATGGTTTATAATTAGTATCATTGGATAGATATTTGAATCTAGTTTTTTAACAAATTTATTTAGAGACGCAAATGTTACACGTATTTTCTATAAATCAAGTCAAACTTATCGGCACGTAAACCGTGGCGACACACATTTAGGGACTGAGGGAGTATGCCACAATCAGATAAGAAAGCTGGGTTTGAGTGGATTATTGAACTGTAGAATGTAAACTCGCCAGATTGAGGGGCTATTTGGATTGCCCTCAGACAAAGTTGTGACGCCCCCGGACAAACTTGTGTGGCGTGGGCGTCGCTCCCTGACAAACTTGTGTGGCATAGGCGTCGCTCCCAGGCATTTGATTTTGAACGTCTGCGTTTGATTTTGGACGTTTGGAGCCAGGATTAGTGCTTAGCAGGGAACTCATCTTGAAGGGCGAACCAAACAAACCATCTTGAAGGGTGTGAACCAAACAAGCCATATAGAATCTATGGTCAAAACGTAGCTCTTGTTTCGGTTAAGAATTGTAATTAGAATCTGTAATCTCTAGCCAAAACAAACATGTCATAGGGGAGTTTGTCCCTATTTGCTAGAGCACCAGATGCAAGAGATATGTGTATTTTTTTATCCAGATATTTATAACTCCAAAAACTCTTGTATAACTGCAAGCACATCGAGAACATAAGATGAATCATTTTGTTAGTACTTTAAATAATTATACCACTTTGATTTACTCTATAAAAACAAGTGTGTGTGTGTGTGTTTTGGAGAAATGGTTTTTTATGTTAGGTCACAAACCTTGAAGTAAGTGCCGTCAAAGGTTGATGACAAAAGGAATGGATGACAACTTGACATACGTGGTTAGTGTATGCTTTGGAGAATCAAGTATAACGTTAGGCCATAATGCATGAAGGTGAAGACATCTCCAAGAGTTGATGACCTCAAAGGTTGACGACAAAAGGAATCGAGGACAACTTGGCATGTGTGGCTAATGTATGATTTGGCGAATTGAGTATAACTTTAGTCCATAATGCATGAAGATGAAGACATATCCAAGAGTCGATGACAAGAGGATCAAGAAGTCAAGATTGAAGATGAAGATCAATCGATGGTCAAACAAAGCAATCATGGACTCAAGATCAAGGGCAGTGATCTTGGGAGAGTGAAGTATTGCAAGCGAGGACTCACAATTGAGAATTTTCAAGAGTTAGGCATCATCAAGAAGGGGATGTCAATATGAGAAGCTCAATCAAATGTTCAGTACGCATGGTGGTGTAGTGTTGATGAACAAATGGTCCAATCAGCTTAGAAATGCAATAAGGATAATCAAGTTTCACCTCAATCAAAGCTCATTTGTAGAAATTGGAGATCACACATGAAGCACAAAAGGGATAGCCCGATACTGAAGAAAACAAGTTTAGCGGATGAAGGAGAAGGTGTCTGGTTAGTGCCTCTGGGTGAAAGGAGTCAATGCCCTAGATGGTCTAGCTTGTGACGAATGAGGCCGCCGATCAATCAGTGGACAGGAGAACAAAGCCTAGGTTTTTTAGGACTATTCAAGTGACTATGATGGGCGGTCAAGCCAAGTGGTGTTGTGACCAGACATTTAGCGAGCGAGTGTTGGTTGTTGAAAACTCACTGTGCAAACGTGTTTGAAGAACAGTATGCTCATGGGTGCAAGGTGAACACTTGGACAACCATCGGACGATGACATAAGCCACTTGTCGAAGTTTCATAATTAGCTGGTGGAGGTGCACTATGCAAATGTGCATACTAAGTCTTGTTTAGTTCTACCCCTAAAGTTTAGTCCTATCACATCGGATGCTTAACACATGCATGGAGTATTAAATATAGACTAAAAAAATAACTAATTGCACAGATTACGACTAATTTGCGAGATTATTTTTTAAGCCTAATTAGGTCATGTTTTGACAACGCGGTGCTACAGTAGCATGTGCTACTGACGGATTAATTTGGCTTAATAAATTCGTTTCGCGGATATTGTCTCACCAAGAGTGCCCGGACAGCCATTTTCCTAGCGGTCGTCGGAGCACTTTTTTCTAATGATTGGCAATGGCTATCCCTGAGCCTGTGAGCTATAAATACCTCTCAAATGGGATCTTCTAGTGCCTTTTGGACATTGAATAGGCCAAGGAGCTTAGGCGAGATAAGCTTATATAAGATCACCAATGCGGACACTAGAATACTACATTTGTGCCAAAAAAAAAAACCTTAGCCACACGTGTGTTGTCAAACCTTCGTAATCGAGTCTGTGTAGTTCTCTTGTTGGCCAGTATTGCTGCACTTGATCTCCATTTGCTGCACTTAGCTGCAGTTGTGTGAATAGAATTCGCGTCAACATCTTTGTAGGGTTGTACCTAGGAGTCGATTACGAAGGTTTGACGACACTTGGACACATGTGGCTAAGGTTTTTTTCGGCACAAATGTAGTATTCTCGTTTCCGCATTGGTAATCAGCTGTAGTGTATGTTTTTTTTGTTTAGCTTTGGTGGTTTTTGCTAAAAGAGTTAGCAATATTTTTTAAGATTTTATGTCAATTCGTTGCAAATTATATATTTTTTGCTAAAAGATTTTGTAAGAGTTTTTATGTCAATTCATTGCAAATTATATATTTTGTAAGAGTTTAGCTTCTGTGGTTTTATGTCAATTCGTTGCAAATTATATATTTTGTAAGAGTTTTTGCTAAAAGAGTTAGCAATATTTTGTAAGATTTTATGTCAATTCGTTGCAAATTATATATTTATTGAAAAGAGTTCCGAGACTATGGATGATTCTTAAAAAAAAAAGTTGAAGACTATGGATGGACTTTGTGAGGTTGCAAAATGATTTTTTCTTGCGGAGTTGCAGGAGAAAGTTGAAACCAGGGCCTTGTTTAGATTGTAAGTTTTTTCACTCTCTCTCCATCACATCAAATCTTTGGACACATGCATGGAGTATTAAATATAGATAAAAAAATAACTAATTACACAGTTTGATCGTAAATTACGAGATGAATCTTTTGAGCCTAGTTAGACCATAATTGGACAATAATTATCAAATACAAACAAAAATACTACAATACCAAATACTAATTTCTAACCTCAGTCTAAACAAGGCCCAGCCTGACCTTCGCCCTTCCACACCTCGCAGCAGAAGCAGACCCGCAGTTCGCGGAGCGCGTTAACCAACCAGTCACAATGCAGGAATTCCTCCCCACGGATCGCCCCCATATCACCCTTCTCTTCGTATTCCAGCGAATCAGAACGCAGGAACCTCCTTCCCACGGATCGCTCTACCACGATCCGCGTGCTCACCCTCAAAACCAATCCAGACCGTCCGTCCTTCTCCAATCCAACGCTCGAAACCCCATTTCCCCCCACGAAGCCCCGCCGCTCCCCCCAAAATTTCCCACTCTCCCGCCCACCCGTCCCCTATTTAATCACCCCGCCGCTTCCCACTCCATCTCATCCAGCAATCTCAATCTCCCGAGCAATCCCTAGCAGAAGGATCCTCCCGCGAAGCAAAGCCCTAGCCTTCCTCCCCACTCCCCTGATGGCCCGCACGAAGCAGACGGCGAGGAAGTCCACCGGCGGCAAGGCGCCGAGGAAGCAGCTGGCGACGAAGGCGGCGCGTAAGTCTGCCCCGGCGACCGGCGGAGTGAAGAAGCCCCACCGCTTCCGCCCCGGTACCGTTGCGCTCCGTGAGATCCGCAAGTACCAGAAGAGCACGGAGCTGCTGATCCGCAAGCTTCCCTTCCAGCGCCTGGTGCGTGAGATCGCCCAGGACTTCAAGACCGACCTCCGCTTCCAGAGCACCGCCGTCGCCGCGCTGCAGGAGGCGGCCGAGTCCTACCTCGTCGGGCTCTTCGAGGACACCAACCTCTGCGCCATCCACGCCAAGCGCGTCACCATCATGCCCAAGGACATCCAGCTCGCCCGCCGCATCCGTGGGGAGAGGGCCTAGAGCGTCGTCGCCGTGGAGGTCGAAGTTGTAGTCGTAGTATCTATCACCACTGTCAGTTCAGGAGGTGTAGAGATGTGCTGGGTTCTGTAGTTTGTTGGGTTATCTGTCGAATCATGCAGTATTTGGTTGTTCACTGCTGTAATTTAGCTATCATGATGCAATGGCAATGAAGTCCTCGGTCATCAGTTCTCAAATTTATCTATTTGCATCATTTTTGTTTCCTGTGTGCAATGTATTTTATATTTTGTGGGATTAATTCGGAAGAATCTAGTAGTGGATCGACGTTTTAATGCAACTTCGCCATGTTTTTTTTTATGCGTTGATGCCCAGCGTTCCGTGTTAGACTCGAGTTGGTTGTGTATACATGACGCAGACAAGTTGGTTCTGGGCTGTCAAGCTGGGCCCTTCTGTGGGAATCGTCTTGTTCTCGTGCTAGGTAGTGGGGTGCGACCGAATCCAACAAAAGAGGAAAGGGGCGCTTGCTTTCCTTGGCTGCGATCTCCGTCCATCCATCCTGCCGTTTCGGGGGGAAGCCAAGAGGTCGTGCGCGCGCGGATCTCTGCGGGGAGGGGATGAAGATTACGGCGCTCCTGGTGCTGAAGCCGTCGACCTCCGGAGCCGGGAGCTCCTCGTCCGGCGGCGAGTCGGGCCCGGAGGCGGTGGTGCTCGCGAACGCGACGGACGTCAGCCACTTCGGCTACTTCCAGCGCCGCGCCGCCCGCGAGTTCATCGTCTTCGTTGCCCGCACCGTCGCTCAGCGCACCCAGCCTGGCCAGCGGCAGTCCGTCCAGCACGAAGGTAACCTCCTCAGATCTGATCGGCTTTCGGATCCCATGAGGAGATCCGGGGTTCGTACTAAATTGTCCATGGGCAGCCTTCGGCTATAGATCCACTGGTGGTTTGATGGCCGTAGCAAGGAGTATTGAAGTTGTTTGTGCTGCGTGTGGGGAAAGAAGTGCTGTCTGTTGATGCTTCTAATGTTGCAATTGATCTTATTACTGAAGTTGTGTTTATGCTCACTGTTCAGCATCTGAAGAAAATTCGAGCAACGCTTGAACCATTTGCACTTGCATCTTGTAGTAGCTAGGCGATCAAAACATTATGGCTGACCCTGTTTGCTTTAGCGATTTGGAATACATTTTTGTTGTTGATTCCCGCATGCTGTTGTGACGTACAATCTCTTTTCATTTCAGAATACAAGGTCCACTCCCACAACAGAAATGGGCTTTGTGCGGTGGCATTCATGGATGATCACTATCCTGTACGAAGTGCATTTTCTCTCCTGAATATGGTACCGACACTCCCACTTGCCTTTACTTTTGGTTTAAGTTCTGTTTACCAATTGTAAGCTGTAGCCAGCCACTTTTCATCCAGTTCTGTTTAAAGTTTATTAATCTGAACAGTGTCTCGTAACATTGTTAGTATAAAAACAGGTGAGTTGTATGAATGACGCTATTAGTTTGCTGCTTGTTAGCATACTACATACTCCGTAGTTACAGTTGCACTCAACACAGCTACAATGTTCTGTGCATTGGTCACCGGCAATGTCAAAACTGTGTGTTCCTTGCTAGTTCCTTAATTTTCATTATTGGTTGAAAACTAATGGCAGCCGGCTTTAATTGTCAAAATGCTGCGCTTCTTTTATGAGACTCAGTAACTTACTGAGCAGTCTTTATCTATTATCAAAATGCTGCACTTCTTTGTAGTCCCTTTATGAGATTCAGATGTTCATATGATGGATTTCATGAAGGTTCTTGATGAGTACCAGAAGGCTTTTGGGGACTCCTGGAAATCTGCTACTGCAGATGGAACTCAAGAGTGGGCTTTCCTGACAGATGCCTTGACAAAATTTCAGGTTCAAACCTTCATGTGAAACACAAGTACTTTCTGCCCATGTATTGATTGATCTGACCTTGTATAAATTATCACCATCTATTGTTGGTGCTAATAACTTTGGGTTGTTTTCTATGAAAAGGTCAGATAAATGGATTGAATTCCAATATTTTTGTTTCTGGTATCTTCATTGCAACGTGACGTGTTTGTTTTGGATGCCACAAGATTGTTTTGGGATTGTCTTATTTGACACTATTGTATGAGTTGAATGTATAAATATCTGGTTGTTCCAGATTGTCAAATCATTGTGATAAAGAGTTAGTTGTCCAGCTGGACTGCTCTGATGACTGCCCAGAAGGAACATGCTAATTTTTTTGAAGTAATATTATATCATGTGATACATCTTGTGATGCTTGTGGTTGAATGATATTGGTTATTGTTGTGTGGCTGATACTGGATTATGCCTGTATTCCTTTACACCCTATCTGCCCATAAGGAAGCATATTCACATTACTCATGATATGTTCATCATTTTTTAGGACCCTGCAGAAGCTGACAAATTAATGAAAATCCAGAGGGACTTGGATGAAACAAAAATTATCCTTGTAAGTGTGATGTGATGTATTTAAATCTTTCATTGCTTACATATTTTCAGTTTTGCAGAATATGTCTCATGCACTAAGTACTGTTGGATTACTGTTCATTGCTATAACACAACATATACCTTTGAGTATTGTCTTTACAGAATATCCGCTTTAGCTGTACATTAGGCCTTCTTCTGCTGGCACTATATATATATAGATGAGCTTACATCCAAGCCACGGAGCATTAGGCCTTAGTTGCTTCATGCTTGTGCTGACACTTGATCTAGAATGTTTTAGATCTAAAGCCAAGAGTGTCTTCGGTAGTGGTTCAAACTGAACTTAGTTTCATTGAAATTGGGTAACATAGTTGAGTATGAACAGCTCTACATCTTTTAAATAAGAAATGCAAGCTTGCTCAAGCATACGTGATGTTTCTTTTATGGCCTTATGTGCATACTTTAGTCTGTGTGAGCAAATCTTTGAATATATGCAAATCTGACAACAATTGCTAATTGTGGGTCCTTTATGCTTTAATATTTTAACAGCATAAAACTATTGAGAGTGTCCTTGCCAGAGGAGAGAGATTGGATAGCTTGGTTGAGAAAAGCTCTGATCTAAGTGCTGCTTCACAGGTAATCCTATCTTTACTTTGCTGAATGAATTATTTTCTTTTATGCTGTTAAAGCGTAAAATATGTTAAAGCTTTGCTATTTGCTGCTAATTTTCACTGTCATAAACGAAGTACTGAACAACTTACTTTACTAATTCACACAAAAAAAAGATACTCTTGTACATAGTGGTTCGTCAGGTGTACATACTCTGTTAGATGTATATTGCTGACTTCTCCAGGTAGCAATCATCATCTATGGGAGTTTTAGAAGAAAATTATCGACATGCCATCTTTTATGTCAGTCTCAGTATTCAGTAGTACTCCCTCCGTCCAAGTTTGATGAACTTATAAGGCCCAAAAAGGTTTCCAGAATTGGGCCTTGTTTAGTTGGCGAAATTTTTTGGGAAATGGCACTGTAGCACTTTCGTTGTTATTTGACAATTAATGTCCAATCATAGTCTAATTAGGCTTAAAAGATTCGTCTCGTGAATTTCGTCTAAACTGTGTAATTACTTTATTTTTTATTTATATTTAATGCTTCATGCATGCGTCCAAAGATTCGATGTGACGGGGAATCTTGAAAAATTTTGCAAATTTTTGGGAACTAAACAGGCACTTGATAAGTGCGTAATGCTCAACAGCTGTACCCAGGTGCTAGCTTTACTCGGGTCATCAATGAGGCGCTATTCTCCTAGGCGTCTAGCGTACTATTGCACGCATACATGAGTTAAAATCCCATGCGCCGACGCTTGGGGTGTAGTAGTCCAATCCCATGCGTGAAGCAAGCATTTATGCATGCATGAGTTAACGGATGACGGTGAGAATTTTCCTTCTCCCTGGTCTTGCTGCTGGCCCTAGGCCCCAGCAAATATTCTGATCATAAAATAGATGGACAGAGTGAGTTACTCTTAAGACATGCATCAGATAAATAAGCTAGTTTCCGGCACACTTTATTCACCCCGATCCTCACAACCATTCATGTCAGTCTAAAATCTCTAATTGAAGTGGCAGTGTTTGCCTGGAATATATTATGATCTCTCTATGTCTTTAGTGGAAGTGGAGTGTGGCTCATAGAGTCATAGTTTGTAATGTGGATTTCTTGAATCGCAATTCAGATTCCAGAGTAGTTGCAGTTTGCGGATATGCAGAGTATGTGACTTAGTCTTAAAAATTCTGAGTGCTCTTCAGCTTACTTTGTGTTTATAAGTATGCATTATGTCACAGTGTGTTCTTGTGTATTCACATTCTTGAGAAATGTTATTCTGTCTTTCAGATGTTCTACAAGCAGGCAAAGAAGACAAACTCATGCTGCACAATTCTTTAAACTTTGGTGCTTCAATCATGGTTGCAAGGTGGTTAATGCTGTTTTTTTGAGATCTTATTCCATCCATTCCAAATTATAAGACGTTTTGGGTTTTCTAGATACATAGTTTTTGCTATGTACTTAGATATACACTATGTCTAGATACATAGCAAAAGCAATGTATATAGAAAAACCCAAAATGTCTTATAATCTGGAATAGAGGGAGTAATTATTATTAGGCCTTATCATCTCTTTTCATCTGATTAAATTCTCAGCAAGTTTTTCTATTCTCCTTTTTTTTCAGAAACAAAAACGGTCGATATGGTGCTAATTTATTGTAAGTTAAGTCGCCCATGAAGCGTGGACACGTGGTTGCAAGGCTCGATCTCAGTGCTGTTGGTCTCAGTTTGGAAGGCTATAATTTTCTCCAAGACCTGCCAGAATTATACTGTTTTCTTGTGAGAATTCCTGCTCTCCAAACAGGCCATAGACTATCATTCTTTAGTGATGAAAACCTTGTAGCATCCGCTAACACCATTTATTGTACTATATAAAGCTTGCCTCAAACTGCAGAAATGACCAATATTGTTAAATTCTCAAAGTTTGCTGGAGCACATTTGATGTCCACAGATTATGTTAAAAAAAACATTTGATGTCCACAGCATATGTCACATTCTTAAACAACTCTACCAAGTTTGGTGCACGCTTGTACTTGTTTCACTGGCACTTTGCTGATCTTGCTACTTGCGATTACCTGGCCATACGGACACTGTCAAATCGCCGACATGGATTTGTTCCCTCTGAAATCTTCTGTTCGGCTGTCATTATAAGCTGGCTTATCAGTCATAGTATAGTATTTCTCTCTCGATAAATCAAGCTGTACAAATCAGAAAAAAAAAACGAATCGGTACGTGGACGCAATTGTAAAGCAGGTACCCGGATATTTAAAAAAAAAAAAAGCAGGTCCCCAGATGGACCGGAACCGGGCTAGCGTGCAGGTGAAGCGTCCAATCGGTAGGATGCTCTCGCGGCCCAGCCGTGCCACTCACTTGAAGTTGGACCAGCGAACCGCAGGCATATTCCACGCGTAAGGGCCAGGCCATTAGGCAGGTAATTGGGTAACTGGTAACCGCCCTGCCTGGCTGGCCGGCGGCCCCATCAGGCAAGCTCCGAGCTGCCATTCTGCCCTTTTTTCGCAACACCACACCATCGGAGCCGTCTCGCTTTCAGGCCGTTGCTAACGCCCTGCTTGGTCCTATCCTAATCCCCCCCTGCCCGCGTTGGGGCTTTCCCCCGCCCGCGTCCTCGTCTGTACGCGCCACGACCACGACGGGACAAATTGCCTCGCTCTCGTCTCTGATGGCAATTGCCCTCCCCTACCTTCCTTCCTACTGTACGTCCTGCCGCGCGCTAGGTACGCCACCGCACCACCACCACAAGCGCTCGACGCGGGCGGCCCAGCCAGCCGCAGCGGATAGAGGGATAGGCCTCGGCCCCGATTGGCCGATTCCGTTGGAGCTCCGCGACCCTTGGCTCCCAGCCTCATTTCTAGTAGATATACCGTGCGCGCGGCAGCAGCAGCAGCTGGGGTTCTTCGTGCTCGCGCGCGCTCTGCACTGCGTGATCACCACTGGGTAGCTAGCTAGCCGATCGAAGTGCCAGCAGGGGAGCGAGGGCGCGCGCGGCCGGGGCGGCGAAGCGGAGGCGAGATGGACCACGCGGCGGACGCGCACCGGACGGACCTGATGACCATCACGCGGCACGTGCTGAACGAGCAGAGCCGGAACCCCGAGTCCCGCGGCGACTTCACCATCCTGCTCTCCCACATCGTCCTCGGCTGCAAGTTCGTCGCCTCCGCCGTCAACAAGGCCGGACTCGCCCAGCTCATTGGGCTCGCCGGCGAGACCAACGTGCAGGCAAGTGCATGCGCCGGCCCGGCCGGCTTATTCTCACGACAAACGTCTACCTAGCTAGATCGCTCGCAGTCGCAGTTTTTTCTTCAGCGAGATTGATCGAGATGTGACGATGCCTTGGTTGTTCGACGTGCGACAGGGAGAGGAGCAGAAGAAGCTGGATGTCTTATCCAACGAGGTGTTCGTCAAGGCCCTCGTCGGCAGCGGTCGCACCGTACGAAATCCTCCTTGTCCATTTGCGATTGTCCGTTTGAGTTCCGAGTGTTTTACTTTCTGACTCGGCGCCGGTGTACGCGTGCAGTGCGTCCTTGTGTCCGAGGAGGACGAGGAAGCAACGTTCGTGGACCCTAAGCTACGTGGAAAGTGAGCAGACTGAACTTGAGCTGCCTATACGTATGCTCTTCTTGCTTGCTACCTTGGTGACCCGGCCGTTTCTGATGAAATGCATGTATGCATCGCTTTTCTATCCAGGTATTGTGTTTGCTTTGATCCCCTCGACGGCTCCTCCAACATCGACTGTGGCGTCTCCATCGGAACGGTATGAACACAAGAAATCTCTGGGTCCTTTTATGGAACGTTGAAATTTCATTACAAAAATCTCTGGATAGCGACATCAAAAGCAAGACTTCAGCAAACGAGCTGTTCATTTGCTAATATTTTCCACCTAGTTTTCTAGATTTATTTATGGGTCTGAAGTAACTGGAAATTTAATTAAGCTGACAGCACAACAACGTGCCTGCTGTATGTAACTTAATTTGTCATCGCGACTTGACCGTTCACAAATTTCGTATCAAACTGCACCTTTGTCAAGTATATTCTTTTTGTTTTAATTGAGCAGGTTTCATGTTTCTTTACATGAGTTTCCTCCAAGTAAATTCCTTTTGTTTTGTAGATCTTTGGGATTTACATGATCAAGGACAAGGACAATGTCACTCTGTCCGACGTACTGCAACCTGGCAAGGACATGCTTGCCTCTGGATACTGCATGTATGGCAGTTCCTGCACGGTAATCAATTCTTCGCATCCATCTTCTCTGAAGACACTCATCTGTAATGTCCCATCTGAATATATTGACATGTGCAACTAATCTGATGCAGCTTGTTCTGAGCACTGGAAGTGGTGTCAATGGCTTCACACTTGATCCTTCACTTGGAGAGTTCATACTAACTCATCCAGACATCAAGGTTATTTTTTAGCTTCAGTCCTTTTTCTTGTTCAATTGTTCAGGCAAACAGAATACTGATTACTATCAGTCTACCACTCATCTCTCTCTTTGTGCAGATACCTAAGAAGGGGAGGATTTATTCAGTCAATGAAGGGAACGCCAAAAATTGGGACGTGCCTGTTGCAAAGTAGGTCTCATTTGTGTTCTTCCTTACTTCATTATCTAAAGAAATAGTGCTTCCTTACTTGCTTAAGAATGCCCCGCCTTTTTTTTTGGAAACGAAGCTCCAGCTATAGCTTACACCATAAATCACAGGTTTGTGGAGAAGTGCAAATACCCCAAAGATGGTTCGCCACCAAAATCTTTGAGATACATTGGAAGGTGAGTCGATCTTTCAGTAATCAAGACTTTCACCGGTAAAATGAATGTATAGGCTCTTTACATGACGTAGGATGGTACTGTTTATACAGATACTAAAACACACTCGTTGCTGTTGATGGTTTACTTTTACAGTATGGTTGCTGATGTGCACCGTACCTTGCTATATGGAGGTGTATTTTTGTACCCTGCTGACCAGAAGAGCCCAAATGGAAAGCTCCGGTAAGCTGACGCCTACTCTCATTTGGCATCCGTTACCTCCAGTCTCCAGTTGCATACACACTCGTAACACTCCTGAACCTGTCTCGATTGGTTTGGTTTGGCAGTGTCCTGTATGAAGTTTTCCCCATGTCATTCCTAATGGAGCAGGCTGGAGGTCAGTCCTTCACAGGCAAAGAACGGGTAGGATTTTCGCCTCTCTATTTCTGTAGAAAAGAAAGCATTTCTGCCCCATTGTCAGAGCTCAGAACTGCTTGTTCAGTACGTGTATCTTGATATGGTGAGACATGTTGATACATTGGTACTGCAGGCTCTTGATCTGGTCCCAACCAAGATCCACGAGAGATCCCCGATATTCCTCGGCAGCTACGACGATGTGGAGGAAATCAAAGCGTTGTACGCCGAGCAGGCAAAGTCAAGCTCAGCTTGATCGGGGAACCCAAATGAGGTTCCTGGCTCTGCTGTGACCTGATTCAGAGTTTCAGACATTTCTTTCCTTGGTGTCGTCGTAAGTTTGTAACATTGAGTGGGCCTGGCTCTGCTGTGACCTGATTCAGAGTTTCAGACATTTCTTGGTGTCGTCGTAAGTATGTAACATTCAGTGTAATATATAGTATGGAGGCCCGGAACAGCTTCACAAGCAACTAAGGGCCTCCGAAAAAGTTACATACTCATAGTTTGATTCGAGTTATCCATACATTATATACATACATGCATGCACATATGCATCTCTAGCACCTAAAGCTTTGTGTTATTACAATATTACCAACCTAAGCATACTCATAGTTTGATTCGAGTTATCCACGCACGCGTACTGGTGAAGAAGAGGTGCTCAGGTGTCATAAATGATGAAACTACTGTCGCAGGCTCTGCGAAATGTATTGCGCATAGAGATCCCTGCAAAAATGTGACCATGTCATAGATTGTTCGATACGTTGAAGACAGAGGAAAGTCCATGCTGTGTGAGGCCTGAAACTGCTCTAGATGGACACTAACATGGAGTACTGGATGGCATCGCGGGCAGCGCTCGCAGGCTGCACCTCGTTGACGGCGACCTCCTTGTTCTCGTTCTTCTTATCTGAACATTTTATCAAGAGGACCATGGACTTAGCAACAGAAAGATTTCCAAATCTGTAAACAGAAGCAAGCTGAAGACTGGCAGCTTACAGTCCTCGAAGAACCTTCGGATCTCTTGGACGCGATGAGGCGAGAGCTCGTTGAGATCATTGTAGTGGCGGTACTCGGGATCATCGGTGCAGACAGCTATGATCTTGTCGTCCTTCTCTCCCTGTCCCCCGAGAATCCGACAACAGAGCAATCGTGTTTCTCATCTAGAACTGAATTGGTATAAAGATGCAGGATTTGATGTGCGATGAATAGATGGTACCTGGTCAATCATAGGCATGAGGCCGATCGCTCTGGCTCGGAGGAAGCAGCCAGGAAGAACTGGTTCCTGCAAGCGATGATCACAAACGGTTGCATCTTCAGTACAAGGCTTCCCTTGAGACGAGAAGTCGGCACTGGTTGTGGTTGGTTAGTCCAGGAGCTAGAGTACACACCTGCATGAGCACCAAGACATCCATGGGGTCGTTGTCCTCGCAGAGCGTTCGCGGGATGAAGCCGTAGCTGTGCGGGTACACCACCGACGAGTACAGCACGCGATCAACCTGACAGGATAGCTCACGTTTTGAAACCTGGTGCCGGTACGTGACGACACTACTGGACAGTGGACACTGACCATGGCGAGCTGACTTGGCAGTTTAGTTCCTGACCTTGATGAGCCCCGTTTTCTTGTCGAGCTCGTACTTGACCTTGCTCCCTTTCGAGATCTCCACGACCTATCTCAACGGTCACAGCCGTACGTACATGGAAAGAAGAAGAAGAAGAAGAAAATTTTGATGGGTAGTACTAAAGTCGTGTGTTACTTGCAACGTTGAACGCAGCGGGAGCGTCAGGACCTGCACGCACGTACAGAGAGGAAGAGGAACCTCCGGAGTTAGCACTGAGAGCAGCTAAACACCTCTGAAAACAGAACGCGCGGTGGTACTGGTTGTGGAAAGAAGATGAAGTCTCATGGGCACGGGGAGAGCTGTCTCACCGATCTCGAGGTCATGCCATGGGTGCGCGGCCACGGACCTCCGCGACAGGGACGAGAGGATCCCGCGTGCCCGTCCTCCGCCTCGCTCATTTTCTCTGCCTCCCGTGCCGTGCGCGCTCGCTTGCTTGTTCCTTTGTTCAGCTCGGCACGGTGTGGTTGCTGCACCCAGGCCCAAGCCGCAGCGTGCAGGTTGCCCGAGCCCGACAGGCCGACCGGCCGCGCGTGCCAGGGAGATATGGGGCTCGGCAGGGTCTGGCACGCGGGTTGGGCTGCCACCTGCGGCCTGCCACGGCGCACCGCTTCTCGCGACTTCTTTCAGCTTCCTCGACGCGACGCCTATGAGGCTATGACCCCCCACGGCACACTTCAAGTTTCCAACTGATGGGAAATAATTCGGTGGTGTTTAAATTCAGCGAGTAAAATTTAGGAACATTATATTGATGTCACATCGAAATATGTTATATATGAATGTTTAGATAATAATAATAAAATAAATTACATAAGTCTTCAGTAATCCGTGAGATAAATTTATTAAGACTAATTAATATGTCATTGTCATGTGTTAATGTAGCATCACATTATCAAATCATAAACTAAATATGTTTAAAAATTTTGTCTCATAAATTAATCATAATCTATATAATTAATTATTTTTTAATTTATATTTAAGTATGTGTCCAAACATGGAGGAACTAAACAAGGCCACGTCTCTCTTTCCACGGAGAGGATTCGGCCGAAGCTTCGAGCACTCAGGTACGAGACGCCGCCTTTCAGTACACCGTGGTGCCATAGAGCTGCGTGCGTCGATGCTCCTACACGGACACGGTACACTCGCAGTGCTACTTTAAAATAAACTAGAAACAGTGGCGCGGCCCTACATGAAGCACCAGGTCATGATACGATGATACACTGAAGATGGTGACGGCGTGAATATGGAGATCGGGTTGAGGGAGTAATTTGTGTGACTTGAATAATCAGTTCAGTTCCTTCCATAAGCTAAATATTCAATTGTTTAAAAAAAACATTTGCAGACCAAACGTCTATTAGAGCATTGGGTAAGTACCAGTGTTTTTTTTTATAACTGAGTACCGGTGTTGTATCTTACCTGTAACATTCATTGCTAAAGGAGCAGAAGCTCAATTTTGTAAAAAAAAACAGATCACCTGAATAGTAAGATACTTTGGAATACAAGTTAGAATCTTTGAGGTTTATCCTGTAAATTTTGTAAATGGAACTTTACAACAGCTTCATTTGCAACCTGTGAGTATACAAAAGCTACTAGTTTTTGTCTGTGAAGCTTAGGAGGGAGATAAAACACATTAGGTCTGTCAATATGCATTTTAATTACACTTCCAGGAACTTCTACAACTGGGACTGAGGACTTAGTAAGGGTTCTGCGCTATTCTCTAGTATTATTCTACCATCATTGTCAGCATTTGGTTCTATTTCTTTTTCTGTAATTTTAGAGTTGTAACTTTTAGCAGGCTACTGCAGAAACTATATATTTTGAGTGAAAAAACAGTACTTGATAGAAGTAGACATGGTCAGTTGTTCTATAGTCTATATTAGTACACGATGTTTCAATGGAAAAGTCCACCATTTTCCTCTGAAATCAGTATAGCAGAAATTGCACTGACTGAGAGAGATAAAAAGGAATAGAACATCAAACAACGTTACATAACCTTATTAGTTAGTGCTGGTGGAACCATATTTTAAATAAGTAACAAACTTCGTCTAAGCAGCATCCATTTGCTGTGAAAAAATAGTGGAATGAGAAATCAAACCTCAAAGAGATGTGGTTGTGCTGATAATATGCTGCCGCATAGAGCAATGCGACAGGAGTGGGAATATTAGGATATCACAAAGAAAGCGTGCTCATGTGTAAGAAACACAGATATGGTATCAAGTATGTTTATGATTATTTGGATGAGGAGCTTCCAACAACTGTTAGGCCCTGATTATAAAACTTAATATGCACTCCAATATAGGATAGTAAATGATTCTAAGTTCAAGAATTCTAACTTCAGTCCAGAAAGTAGAGAGATAGACAGTGTCTACCTTACCTGCTCCTAATACATGTATATGACTTGACTGTCATTTAAAACACCAAAATATGAAGAGTGCACGACTTTTCAGTCCCGAACTAATTGGTTATCCAATAGATTACAAATCAGAACTTAGTAAATTTAAATCATTGGTCATCACAGCAAGGTCTTAGTAAATTTAAATTCACAAGTCACAAGCAATAATTTACAAATCAGAATATTTCTCATTAGACAGTAGAAGCATAGCATGAAAGAAACTCACAGTTAGAACTTAGAATGGAGTACTGGGGTAAGCTACAAGGCAAGAAATTATCATGCCCGTACATCTATCTCGCAATGTAGCACCGCGATGTCTGCAATGTCTAACTTGCACAATAAAAAATTAAACATTAAGTTTTCAGCAATCTACAATACTGCAGTGGGCACTTGTTTATCATCCTATTGTGTATCACAAGTTAGGTGCAGATCAAATTGTAGAAAGGAGCAGCAGATGAAATCATGAAACCATAATATACCAAAATTGCACCTATTTAATTAACTATTTATCCAAATCAGTACAGAGCACCTTAAAACTTTAGGAAAAAATAAATAAATAGTTGAGAACCATATGAGTTGGGATAGGAACACACAGATCACGGATACTCTATATACTATTAGATAGATATTTTTCCACAACTAATTTAACCAATTAGCATACTAGATTTATTCAACCATGAGTTGGGATAATATTTATTAAACCTTAATGCCTACTTCTAATGCAGTTCAGAGGCAAGGATAATTCTTGTTTAGCTCAGTTGAAGCATATGTAATGGCTGGACAAATTTAAGGTTAAGAATCAATTGGGACATGGTAGTGGCATGAAAATTACAGACGTGCAACGGTACTAAAAAGATCACTTCTGAATTTTCAGTTCTAGCTGTCTTAGATTCTAACTAAAACAATCCATGAAACAAACATTTGAATGTGCATTCGCAGCAAGATAGGTCACGTCCTTGTTATGAATAAAGGGAGACTAAATTAGATGATACTGTTGAGGCCCAAAGGTGGACAATATATAGGTACATGGGACACATGAGAGAAACCCTAGACTAGGGAGATTACACTAATACCCCTGACTATTCTACCTTAACACCACCTCTCAAATGCAACATGAATGCAATGTCGTTGCATTCGGAGAGTTGGCACTACACAATAGACTTGAAAAATAAAAGAGACGAATTACATCCAAATCCAAATATAAAAGATGTCGTCGAAGCGTGCAACTCTTGAACATTGTTGATGTAGAAATGATCTCCACAAGAGGGTAGTGCCTTCACAACATGTACTTCAACAAATACCTCGAGTCTTCACAACAAAGTATATCAACTCTTCAACAATGAACCTTGCTTTGGAGACTTTGAACTCGACGATAATATAGAGATGTGTCAAATCAAGCCAAATGAAAAATAGAGAGATTACTGTTGCAAGATGGCAAGCAGTAGGATAGAATGATGATGACGACAAATAGAAACATTAATACCCCTGACTATTATACCTAACAATCCTCACTCACTAAACTAATAGTATCCAGGCAAACATCACTCACATTCGTTTTGTATCGTGGCAGACGATCGTAAATTTTCAGCTAGAACAATATTTTCTGCACAGTGAGTGATTTCTTCACGAATCTAACATGCTGACTATTGGATACAGACACACATGCACATCTAACTCAGGAATAACAGTTCATCTCTTGCCCTTAGATGCCAATCGATAGATCATCTCCCTGCACACACAAGCATCTCACGATGGCTCACCTCACCTAGGAGCGGGCAAAGGGGTGAGGTCAGAGGAGGAGGAGGACGGCCTCCTGTCGGCTGTAGCTCGACGTCGCCTCAGGCCCCTTCGGTTTGGGAACCAGCAAACTGAGGGACACCCGAGTGCGAGTGCAGATGACCAAGGGACAAGTCGCCGATGCCGCGTTTGCTACAGCCCGGAAGGTGGATGGAGCCCCACGCCTGCGCCGGGGTGGCCGCAGCCGCCGTGCCTGCGCCCGCTGCCCGCTGCCCGCTACAGGGTGGCCAGAGTCGCCACGCCCACACCGCCGGCCGCTCCGGTGTTGCATGGGCAGCTGGGGCCCCCGCCCGCGCCGGGATGGCCGGGATCGGAGCGGCCAGGGTCGCCGGGGCCGATGGAGCCCCCACTGGCGTCGGGATGGCCGGGAACGCCGCGCCCACGGCGCCCGTACCCCGCCCGCGCTGGGGCCACTGGCCCCGCCCGCGCCGGGTGGCGGAGGCCGTTGCGGGGGCGGCGGAGGGCAGCGGGAGCCGGCAGGTTCGCGAGGATTCGCGACTGTTCGAGTTGACAGCTTAACGGGTGATAGATCCGCTACAGGCCCGATCGGACGGTCCATATCACGTTTGGGCAGATTCAACACCTAGCAGGTTTGTGGGCGACGTGGCCCTATCCATTAGCCCGCTTTTGATGCGGAAATCGTATAAAGAGATAAATAAATGTTCTCCTCAGGTGCTGAAAGAAAAACCAGAGGGCTGTATTGTCGCGAACTCGCCATGGCCACGATTCAGGTCCAGCTGTCTGAATGCACCGCCAGTACGAAACTCTGGGCAACAGCAGCGTTTCGATGAACTGCAAGACAAATAACGCTCTTGCGCTACATTTCTGCTTGCACAAAATAAACAGGCCCAGGAACACTACTCAAATCAGGACTTCATTCAGAAGCAATGAAATAAATTGACAAACTTTTTCGCTACTGCAAGCATCATGTGGAACTGCCCACAAAAAGGATTGAAGGAACAGCCATAATCTGGCATGGTTGAAAGTTTATGGGTCCTTTTTGGCCGAAAGCCTCCACAGTGTAGCTAGCTCAAACAGAACGACAGGTGAAAACATACTTTCATAAAGAAACGCTGCAGTACTTACAAACTCCACGAGTTCGGCCATGCAGGTGTCTGCTATGATGAGAGATGAATGCTCCTTGTGGGCAAGTGCTGGAGGGATAGTCCTCAGACCCCTAATGGCTGCGTCTAATTTAAGGAGTAATTAGCTTATGCCTTTTGATCCCCCTGTAGCTGTCTGCTACAAGCGGCTGCGCTCTCGCGCATGAAGTTGTAAACTCTGCTTTCTTCTTATTAATATAAAGCCGGGCAACAAAATCTTTCAAAAAAGAAAAGAAAATATATTCATCTCTGTACTTAAATAGATTAGAGTACTGAATAGATTACTACATAGTTTAGCTGAATCGTATCATGTCTTCAATGTTTTTTTCCTGAAAGATCCGGTTGTTATCCGGCTTATATATATTAATAAGAGAGAATTACTGTAAGCAGGCTGCCAGTAAGGTGTAGGAAAGCAGATATTAGAGATTATTCGCTCAATGCATATCTACCAGAAGTTTGAGATCTTAATCTCCCGCGGCTCCCCAAAAGGATATGCTTCATCAAGGATTCAAAGAAGATCGAGTCCGCTGACTCTGACTCTTCCTTTCCACAGAAATTCTCTCCTTCTTCTGTCAGAATCGTTAGGGAGTGAGCCGCCTGCTTCCATTCTTCACCGTGTCTGTAAACCAATTAACCAAGGGGAAATGCTCGTGAGCCCTTAAAAAAGATTACAGTCCCCCTGTGAGTCACTGAAAAAGTTTAGTTGTTTTCAGCGTTATTGTTCTAACTTTTTTTTTTGTCCTCCATGCCACTGTCGACAGATTGGGCCCTAACGGTGTCAAACTGCAGGTGTGAAAAATCGAAAATACCCTTAAATCTAAATATGTCATTAATTTTTTAAGCATCTTAACGACTTTAAATGAAAAAACTCAAAACTAGAAAGTTGTAGATCCCGTCGAGATCTATAATTTTCATATAAAAATTATATTCTTTTAATACCGTAAAAAGATATGATTTTTCTAAGATATATTAATCATATCAAATCATATCTTTTTTTGCGGAATTAAAAAAAGATAATTTTTAGATGAAAATTATAGATCTATATGAGATCTACAACTTTCTAGTTTTGAGTTTTTCCATTTGAAGTCGTTAAGATGTTAAAAAAGATTAATGACATATTTAGACTTAAGAGTATTTTTGACTTTTCACACCTGCAGTTTGACACCGTTAGGGCCCAATCTGACGGTAGTGGCATGGAGGGCAAAAAAAAGTTGGAGCAGTGACGCTGAAGACCGCTGAACTTTTCCAGTGGGGATTACGATCTTTTTTAATGGAGGAATTCTCTCGTTAACCAAGCCTGCAGGTTATCAGCCTGTTCGTTTGGCTGGGCTTGTTCGTTGTTGGATCGTGAAGAAGTACTGCTGGCTGATTTAGTGTAAGAGAAAAATACTGTTCCGGTTGAAAATTTACGATCATTTACGAGATCCACCAGCCAACCAAACAGGCTGTATGTTAGGCACTATGGCACCACAATTTAGGGATCAGGTGCGGTGAGCTGCTCCGAACACTTCACTTCCAAATACTTTGTGCTGAAGGGGCATTCCAAGATGAGATGCCTTTTCTAAGTTTCCGTTGGGTATCGATATTAGAGATACCCAAACCAAGGAAATTAGCGCCCACGTTGATTTTCTCGGATGGCTCGAGACATATTAAAAGGTCTCGCCCGACCCCTTGGGAGCGGGCTCCGTCTCGCCCGACCCCAAGGCTGCGGGCTCCGTCTCGCCTGACCTCTTGGGTGCGGGCTCCGTCTCGCCCGACCCCAAGGACGCGGTTTCTGTCTCGCCCGAGGCGGCGGGCTTCGTCTCGCCTCGACCTCGAGGCCGCGGGCTCTGTCTCGCCCGAACCCTTGGGTGCGGGCTCCGTCTCGCCCGACTCCAAGGACGCGGTTTCCGTCTCGCCCGACTCCAAGGACGCGGTTTCTGTCTCGCCCGACCCCAAGGACGCGGTTTTCATCTCGCCCGAGGCGGCGGGCTCCGTCTCGCCCGACCCCGAGGCCGCGGGCTCCATCTTGCCCGTCCTTGAGGCCGCGGGCTCCGTCTCGCCCGACCCCTTGGTCGCGGGCTCCATCTCGCCCGACCTCGAGGGCGCGGGTTTCGTCTCGTCCGATGGGGACCCATACCGCCGCCAACCACTCCAGGTCCAAGCGTATGGGCATGGGTTAAAACTCTGACGCCATGGAAGAGGTTGGCACGCCTTGATCTAACCCGCTGCCATGACGGGCCATACTTAGGGATTCATATCAAGAACAGTGCCGGCGCATGCCGGTGTTGTTCTGCTTAATTCTCATACGAACACTGACAAGCGCGTCAGTTCAACACGACGTCCGTCGAGACGGAGTAGAACGCCATGACCGGCAGATGATGCCCGCGCATGGCGCCAGTGACGAACAGGGCCACGACATGGAGTCGTCCCTGTTGATATCTACAGGATTGACGGGACCCGCATGAAGGAGAAGGACCCGACGACGCTGGAAGCCTTCTTCTCTCTCGTTCTTCTTATTTTTCTTCTCTGTAACCCGCGCTTTTCCTTCGCCTATAAAAGAGAAAGCAGGACACCCCACGAGGGGAGGGAGATCGAAAAAACATAGGAGCACGACACGATCACACGGCTGAGCAGCAAGCGAGCTCTCAACATCCGTTCACTCCTTCCACCAGAGACTTGGGATCCTCTTCCTCTCTCGCTTGTTTGTAACCCCTGCTGCAAACCAAGTGCCGGTAACACGAGCAGCAGCGAACTGGACGTAGGGACGTTCCACCCGAACCAGTATAAACCCTTGTGTCCTCCGAGCACAGCATCCTAGCCAGACACGCAAATACAAATTTACTCGTCGATAGTCCGAAAACACCGACAATTTCTTTCACAGAGAGGGCAGTAGTCGTTCACCCATTCTCTGGCCAACAAACAGCCCGCGGTCCAAACTCTGTTCTGCAGCAGTAGCCACAAGAAGATCTTGCAGCCTGCCGGAACCCACGGTTAAAAAATAATAGCCAGAAATCGATGTTGGGCGCCTAACTGTACTGTAAAAGCTGATCTTGCCGTGTATTCACCTGACCTGAAGGTTCCTGGGTCCAATTGATCATGTCTTCCTTCGGATCATCCGCCGAGAAACCACTGTCAGCGATTAGGGACCATAGGCGGAAATAGTCGCTCACAAGGTCCTCTGTCTTCAGATTTTCCTGAAAGGGTCTTCAAAGTTATGGTATGCAAGTATACCAATAGAAGCAAGGTACGCTAGTCCATATTTCTGTTGCCTTAAGACAAAACTGTGTGTATTCAGACATGTTAGCAACACTTGCAAATAGAAGTGAGCTATGGCGCCACCAGTTCGATTTTTATGTGATCAATGTGCTACTGCTCATGGGTCCATGCAAACGTGCACTAGCACATTGGAATGTTCATGACAAATAGAAATTTTAACACCAGTATCAAGTTATTTCACGAGAACTCAAAGCAATACTACAAACACGCTATGACATAGGAGTTTGTATATATGATTTTTGCAGCTTAAACTGTGTAAACCATTGCAGTTACAGCACTAAAAATACTTGTATCCAGTTTTATATCAGCATAGGACACACATGGGATCATCAATTTGGAAAGGAAAATGTTATGTAAACAAGATGCCGTCAGCACACCCCACTCCCCACTGCAGACCATCATGGTTCGACATGCTGGCAAGAGTAAAAACCACAAGGTTAAAGAATACTAAACCCCTACAAGCAAGAAAAGACATAGGAACAGTAAAAGCACCCAGAACAACTTCAGAAGTTAAATGCATAGTGCAGAAGTATCTAAGCAGTCAAGGATAACATCCTGCAATTTAGCAATTGCATCCGCCACATTATTCAAGCAGATAGTCGATGTAGTTGAGACCACATATTACACAGATGCGTTATGCATAGCTTCACTCAAGGACTAATGATGCATCAGCATATGTGATCAAACCGTTTTGGGGGTGTTAATTAAGCACTTCAGCCTGAAGCTTATCGGCGGCCGGCTCCGGCTGGGGCTGGGCCTGAGCCGGGGTGAGCGCCTTCTTGATGGAGACGGCGTGGATCTCCGCCATGTGAGGCGCCAGCGCGGTGTTCACCATCCGGTGCCTCTCCAGCAACCGCTTCCCCTCGAACTTCTCCGACACCACCTCGATCTCGTAGCTCGCTCCACACCTTCGCACCAACGAATTGAATCAATCAACAACGCAACAAAGATCCGTTCTTTGTTGGTCAGTCAACAACTGAAGATGCTAATAATAAAAAGTTTAGGCATTGGGAGGGAGCGAGCGAGCTTACCCTCCGGATGTGTCGGTCACCACCTGCAGAAGCACAGAGGCGATGCGGTTAGGGTTTACGATGGAGATCGATGGATTCGCGGGTTTAGAGCGACAAGAGGCTTACGAGATTGGAAGGGCTGAGAGCGGAGGTGATGGCCGCCTCGACGTCGTGCTTGGTGACACCCATCGCTTCTTCTCCTTCTCTTCGCCGGTGTGTTCAGGTGGAGCGACGGATTGGCAAGCAAGAAGATGACTTGACCCAGGCGACAGTAGCGAGGACTCTTTACTTGCCTCTTTTCGGTTTCCTGCCCGATTCTGTTGTTCTTCCAAGAGCCCTAGTGGCTTGGGAATCGAATAATTGGAAGATTTCTATGGTTGGGAAATTTTATGAATTCGAAACACTCGTGAAGATATGGTCCAACTAGCTGACATTTCGGGTTTCAGGATTTTCACATTTTCCGTTTCAAAAAAATTACAAAGCTAGCGATTTGGCAACCAAAATTGCCAAAAGTCGAAAAAAATATTTACCATAGATTTAGCTAATTAAATGTGAGGCAATGGCAAATATTCTTAACCAATCAAATAAAGGCAAAAAAACCAGGCTTGTCCAAGTTTTGGCAACCGAAATTGGGTAATGCTATGGTCAGGGCGTCTGTCCGAACGTGTGCATCCGGATGCCCTGTTCCTGGGCCTGTGCAGTGACCGGGCCCAATAGCCAATCGGCCCTTTACGCTCTCTCCTCCATCTCTACTCCACAGACAGAATCTTCATCGACAGAAATCCCCATTCGCTTACGCTAGTCGTGGCTTCACCGCATCGGATGCCCGCCCCACTCCGCCTCGCCGCTGCGCGCCGCTTCTGTTGCCACGCCTCGCCCACTCCTCCAACAGAACCTCGTCGACGCCGGCATGGTCGACGAGTCAGACGTCTTCGGCGGCGTGGGGGACGACAAAACGACTTCGTCCGGGACCTCATCAACGCGGACCTCCCTGGCGGGAACTCAACCTCGACGTGTGGAAGCTCCTGGCCGACGTGCCCACGCTGCTCGGGTACCTCGTCCAAGCAGCAAGGCGACATGGCACAGCTCCTGTTGCAAGCTTGTGTTTCAAGTGTTTTAGATGTTTCATTTGGATGTTACAAGTGTTTCAGCTTGATGTTACAAAAGTAGATCATGATGTTGCACATGTTGCAATGGCTATACATGTATGTTTCAATTGTTTGTTCTAAATGTTTCATCAGCTTGATGTTGTAAAAGTAGATCATGATGTTGCAATGGCTATACATGTATGTTTTAGTTGTTTGTTCTAAATGTTTCATCTGTTTTTTTCAGACATTCGTTGTTGGCGTTTTACCTGGATGTTGCATATGTTTTACACGTATGTTGTAAGTGTTACATCTGGATGTTACATATGTTTGCAATGGTTTTTTCAAAAGTTTCCAAGTGTTTTGCAAGTGTTTTAGACGCATGTTGCAAATGTTTCAGCTATTTCGTATGTATGTTGCAAGTGTTTTATCTAGAAAAGTAGATCGGGATGTTGCACATGTTGTAATGTGACCCATCCTGTCACAACCGCCTGTTGCAGCCGCTTGGGCGTCGTGCATGCGCGTGGGGATGGAGCGCTGCTTGGCAGCGGTTGTGGGAAGCGGAGGGCGAGGCGGCAGGGGCTCAGGCGATCCCCGCGCAGCATGCGGGTGCGGCAAGCGGAGGGCGCGGGCTGAAAGCGAAGGGGGTGCGGGCGGAAAGCAGATGGGGCACTGTCGACCGGACAGAGGCACAAGTGAGGGCCCAATTTCCTAGGAGCAGTAACTCAGGCGCAGAAGCGGACTGCAACCATGGGCGTCCACCCGCACTAGGAATACCGACCAAAATTTGGCTATGAACCAATCAGGCCCTAAAATTTTAATTAACGTCCTTTTGACATCAGCTAAGCTAACAGTTGAAGATCAGGCAAGTTCGATGGACAATGCTCCTGTACGCTGCAAAATTGAGTTCATATCATTCAGAAAATCAGAAAGCAAGTGCATCAGTAAAGCTAAATGAACGGGCGGAAAAAATACAAAGGTCGCTTTGCTCAAAAGTCAAAACAGTCCAGAGCACCAGCAGCCGCTTACAGACCTATACTACTCGTCCAGAGAGTTCATGAGCCTAGCGCACCTCAGAACACTCACTTCAATCCGCACAAGTCCTACAAGAGAAATGTTCCGGTCTGGAAGATTGGCCTTCCAGAGCTTGGGTTGTTCCAGGTATTTCAGCGGTCTGCAATGCAGTATGGATTACAAATATTCGCTTACAGACCTATACTGCTGTGACATAACCGTCTAATCTAATGTTCCTTCAAGAGTATTTGTCTTTTATTAGACATCAAGTACTTAAGAGAGTGTACTAAATCGTGCTGTTCCGTCGAGCACACCCCAAAGAGACCTCGAAAATCCACATTTTTTCATCAGGATCATAAATGAAAGAATAAAGTTTGCAGTGTTCTTAAACCATTTCTTACATCACTTTATTACAATAGCAGAATATTACCACAATTGATTATAAGAGCGAAATATACAATGTTATCAGAGTTTTCAGCGAAAATGTATATAACGACAAGTTTAAGCGTTAACATGAGGAACAATTATATACATGGAATGATAACAAGCTGTAAGTCTTTTCCTTTGTAAAAATATTTTGTGAAAATTTTGAATAAACTCTACGTCAGCAACGTAAAGAAATCATCGTTGAGCCCACTAGGAGGTTTCCACATAAAAGACGTCTACCATCCCTCGATCACCTGCAACAGAGGAAATAAAAACCTGAGTACTCGATTGTACTCAACAAGACATACCCGACAGGAGAAAAATAAAAGACTCTAAGCGTCGGTGTTTCGTATAAGCACCGGCAAGTAAATTTATAGTAATGCGCGTTAGGCTCGGATGGTGCGCTAAAGGACACAAGATTTATACTGGTTCGGGCCGAAAGTCCCTACGTCCAGTTTGTTGCTGCTCGTGTTATTAGCACCGTGAACGCTTGTAGTAAGGGGTACAAACGATCGAGAGAGGGACTGGTCCCAAGTCTCTGATGGAAGGGTTCAAGGGATGTCAAGAGGTTCGACGCAACTTGACTGTGCGTATCTGAGAGTCGTCTCGTTCGATCTCTTTTTTCCCTCCTCTTTATGGAGGAAGCGCATCCCCTTTTATAGATGAAGAGGCTGGCTTTACAAAGGTGAGGGCTTTAGGATGCGTACTCTACTTAGTCTTGTGGCTCACGTCTACCCGGCCTGGTTCTTCATTCTGATGAGTGCGAAGGAAGATAAGCGCCTACAATACTGTCGATGTCCCCTGAGGATGTCGGGTTAGTTCTGAGAATGCCACCCAAGGCAGGTATGGGCTCATGATATGATGGTTTTGACTTTTGAGCCTCTCCCAGCATTGCTCTGCACGCCAAAGAGAAAAGAAACAGGCCTTTGTGGCTTGCGTTTCCCAGATGGGTAGAGAGTCCGGATTCACCTGGGGAAGGCGATCCGTCCGCCGAGATTTTTGGGGTGAGAGGATAAGGATCGCGGCGCGTGTCCCATGACGTGACGATGTGGCACGCGTGGCGAGCCCGGAGATCGAGGCGACGGTTGCCCTTCTCGCGTCCGTCGCCGCCCCCTATAAAACCACGGGTTCGCCCCAAGGTTCCGTGATTTCGCTCCCCGCCTTTTACGTTCGAAACATCCGCCGCTAATCGTCCCCAGCCTCTCGCGCCCAGATCGCCACCGTCGACCGGCTGCGTTCGTGTTCCGGCCGCCGTCAAGCTCGCGCTGCCCTTCCCCTCGCTTTAATGGAGTTGTGGGGCAGATCAAACATCACCTCCGGTGTCTGAGGGCCTCGTCGCCGTGGCCTTCTCCGCCATCCGCCCGTCCGAGGAGTGGTTGCTACTGGCGGCGAGGGTGAGCCGGTGCCGCTGAAGGGTATGTCGTCTCTTTGCCATCTTCCATGAGCGGAGATTCGGGTACCAGCGATAGATTCCTTCGGGGCTGTTGGATTACTATGAGGTAGAGCTGCAAAGATCTAACTCCCAATGGGATTCAAAGACATGGCGCATTTGTTGCCCTGTGCGAGGGTTTCTCGGGATCGATCCCCACTTTGATCTGTGGGCGTATTTCTTTACCATTAGTCCATCAAAGAGGAAGATTGGGGGAAAGACGTGAACGCGCCGATGGGGTGTGCCGGCATTCATCTCGCGCCATACCCGGTCGAAGGTTACCCATACATGCGTCTGGCGACATCCAACAAGGGATGGCACTCGCAGTGGTTTTACGTTAGGGATGACACAAGTGCCACCCTACCGAAGTACACTGGACGTCTTATTGTGGACGTTCCGGAGTCGTGGGGCTGGGGCGTCCAGATCAAGGACAAGAAACACATCTCCGACCTTCTTTCCGCCCTCCAAGCCCTGAAGGGTCGGGGTGTAAAGGGGACAGGGATTATCGGTGCCTACCACGCTAGGAGGGTGGCGCCTCTGATGGCGCGTGTGCTTCCCCTGCATCGGATGATGCCCGGAATATCGCTCGAGGGACGGTGCTTGTTGACGAGGCGCTCCCTTACTCGGAAGTGGCGCAGCGCATCAAGGAGGCGACGGAGCCGACGAAGGATTCTGCAGGCAGGGTCCTCGACATTGTGTATCCGGTGTCCGGACACCCCCCAATGCGGCCAGAGCCTGGATTCTTTGAATTCGTATGTTCTCCTCTCCCGTGCTCTTTTCTTGTTTCCTGGATCTCCATTTTTTAACACTTGCTTTATGACGTTGGGACCAGCCGAGGGTCTTTGGTCTTTGGCGACAACCAGTTCCACCGCCAAGGACAAGGTCGTGGCGGCGTGAATCGACTCACACGGCCGAGCGGGACAAGAAAGCAAGGGAAGAGATGAAGAAGGCGAAACGACTGAAGCAGGAGGCATGGGATCGGGGAGAGGACGTGAGCAGTGAGGACGACGACGATGACGATGATGATGATGACGACGACGAGGTAGCCATCGGCGTGGATTGGGACGTCCTGGAGGACGAGGACACGCTAACGAGTGGACACCCATCCGTGCAGGGGCCCTTCGCTTTCCCCGCGGAGGGAAGTAGATCGATGAGGTCAGTGGAGGCCGGCGAGTCTGCCGCTTCGCACGGCGTGCCGGCCGAGGACCGGTGGATGGGGGGGGCGGACCTGCCGC